TAATGTTGAGAATCTTAGTGAAGTATCGAGGGAGTGTTATTTCTATCAAATTGTTAATACCGCGCGGATAACAGCTAGTAGAGAGATAAACCTAACGCGACCCTGACCGAGAGAGAGATCTCACAGTAAGTTCGCGAGATGATAAATACCTTAAAATACCCGTGAGTCTTAATCGTGTTGATGCACAAATGGTCGGCAACTCAGTTCAAAATTTACTCTTTTTTTCTCGGCTTCTTGGGTGGTGGCGAGTGGCAACGGCTAAAACGGCTGTTCCGAACACACACACTTAGGAATAAAGGGTTGATGACGACTGCTCCGGCTTGTTATCACCTCGTCTTTTTATTAAGGGCTCCTCTTGAGTTTTACCTATGACTTTATTAGGAGGTTTAGTACAATACATCAAGGCCAATAGTCACATTTTCACGCCTTGAATCCGGGTGACACATTCGACGTGTCGTCGTCAACAAGGAAATAAGTCTGTGGTAAATAGTTTAATTATCTTAGACGATTTTAGTAAAACAACTTTAACATAAAACTAAATCGAACAAAAATTTCTTTAACAAATTTGGCTTTCACACTGTTATGCAGCTTTACTCAAAATAAGTACAATACATAGTGATATTTCTCACTTATACAAAGTTTTAGAGCAGTGTTTCTCAACTTCTACCGTCGCCCTATTCAATAAAATCACGACGTAGTGTAATTCTTTTCACTTCGAATATAATCTTGTTGGGTTTATTAATTTAATTTTTTACAAAGTATATAATTATCAAATAAATATTTATTTACTGAGAATACGTATTCGATTTTGTTATAAAATGAAGCATTATTCGCTGTAAATCCCCAATGCAAGTTTTAAAATTCAGATTCCGAGGGCCCAAATTCGTATTGCATTGAATAGACTAGTCACTAGTAAAATGATTTTTGTTTAATTATTGTACGATATAACGAATAAAATATTTAATTATTCTTAATATAAAGTTTTTCTATATCGCCCAGTAAATTATTTTTCGCCTCCCAAAATGAAAATTGTTACTAATCGTCCCCAATATGGAAAAAACGCCAACACGGGGGCGATATCGCTTCAATGAGAAACATTGTCTTAGACTAATCTAACCTCGTTTAATCTAAACTTAGGTTAAGTTAGGGTAGACTAATATAATGAAAATATTTATGTGTAATTGCGAATCTTTTGTGTTTGAAGTTCAGACGTCATTCAAGAAGTATAATTTAGATAGACGTAAAACAGATGTTACTTCTGTTGAAATTTCCATTTCTCTCAACTCTTGTTGACAGATGAAGCACAGATATAATTGGTATTTATAAAACAACTTATATGATGTCATTAGACATTTTTATTAATACTCTCACGTGAATACCTTAATACCAAATCTTGTAAAAGCTTCCGCCTTTAAAATCAAATTTTGCGAAAAATTCATTGATCATTTTAACTGTTTAATCTCAGCGTTTAAGTGTTCTTGATAATTGTTATAATAATATTTTAAATATATACATTTAAAAAATTTTATTTAATCTCTGTTGTATTTCAGTAATGCCGTGCATCCTGCAAAGAATGTAGTCTAATAGAGGAACGTAATACCTATGCAGTTGGTCGAGCAGTACCAGAAGAGCCTTATAAGTAAAAACGACGCCATCATTCCAATACAATACGATAACAAATTAGTGAATGACGTTAAAACAATGGACTCTCCTGCTTTACAATACGTTTCTACCATACGTTCGTGAAATTGTGCTTCAAATTCGAAATCCTTTAACTCACTATTAGTACGAAAACATCATCTATTTCGATTACTGCATCGAATAATATCATGATAATTAGTAAAATTAATCAGAAATTAAATTTCAATTAACACAATCGACCAAAAACTAAAAACAGAATGGTAACGTTCCAAATACTAATTTCAATACTAAGTATCGATATTAACTATGAAGGCATATATGTACCCAGTAGTAACTATGAAGGCATATATTTGCCCAGTAGTGACATGAAAACATGTATCTGCATTATAGTCAGTTTTTCACAATGTGCTTAGTATTTCTATTCTCGTGTCATTATTCACAGTGGCTTGTTTATTTCAGAACAAATTGTGTTTTAAAAATATCATGCTTAATGGAGGTTCGACTGTTTTCAACTTCGGTCACAGACAAACCACGTCATCTGTGACTTATAAAAAGCTCGCTGATGCTCTGTCCAAAACTTTAGTATCATCTATTGTCTTATTTCTTAAAGTTTATGAATGTAGCAAAAAACTAAAATTTAAAATTTATTACAAAAATCTGTGAATATTTATATGTTATAAAATGAACCTTTTAAAAAATATATTTGAAAAACTAAACAGAATTATACACTCAAATCACTATTGTTTTTAGCAATTAAATTTATTTTATTACTAGAATATAAAACGAGATTTATGAACTTTTTCGAAAAAAATTATAAAAAGTCAAAATAATTTTTAAATACTCAAAATAAGTAATTTTAAAATTGAATAAAAGGTGAAATATTCTGAAAATCACTAATTTAAAATCGCAGATAGATCGCAAACACCAAATGGTCGAAAATTCAATCTATTATTGCATGATTCCTTCATTTTACTGTAAAATAACAGAAAAAATTGTAAAATAGAATAATCATATCTGGTAAAAAAACTTTCTATAAAATTCATAAAATGTTCTAAAATAATAGTATAGTGACTATTAAATTGCATTAAAATACGATTTCGTGCGAGTACAAAAATCGATTGTGAAGATAATTTTGTTTGATGATACACTTTAATGCCTGACAAAGACAATCAATATCTTTCATGCGAAAGAAAATTCATATTTTTTAATATTATAATTGTTAAAATAAAAACAATTATGTAAAATAACTGTGTTTTCGCTAGTTAAGATGAAATGTAATTATTATAACGACTATCTTTTCGAATTGAAGAATACCAAAAATTTACTACAGTAATTTCATTTATAATTGTTTACAGTCACGATATCCTATGAAAATCTTTCTAATGATATAAAGTATGTTACATACTAATAAACACGTATTAAATTCTACTGTTCCACTTAGGTATATTAAATTAATATGAATTTAGTATACATTACTGAAATATGTGAAAAAATTTGAAATAGCATACGCGATAATATAGATTTTTTTTTTTTTTCTTCCTGGAACAAACTCCTACGAATTTTACTACGGTAAATGTTTTGAAAATTTTTCTATTTTTTCGATTCAAGAAACATTAAATCGTCAGAAAATGCGAAAACATTTCGTGTTCTTTCTGTATATTTTTATGTTCGTGTGTGTATGAATAGCACGATTTTGTTTATTATGTTTCAAGTTTAATAATTTTTACAGGTTTTGTAGAAAATTTCTGAGATTTTGCGGGAAGATTTAGGTAATAGGAGTATTCTTGCCGTTAAATTTTTGTGCGTATAGGCCAAAACGACAGGAAAGTAAGGGATCCTGTGTTGTATCTCCAGTAGGATCGCCCCTTAAGAAAATTCTATTCGTTATTATCATTTACAACATTTTTCTAAATTCGTCACTACTTTTGACGATAAGTTTACCGTCATTTTTAAATAATAAAAATGTAAAACGTTTTAATAATAAATATCGTAAGACATGATGTACCAACTGTTACCAGAAAAATTAAGCAACTCTTCAAACAGCTTTGTAATATTGATAAACTTTCTGTGTAATTGTATGGAGTTTAGATTATGAACATAGTTTTATAGTACAACATAGTTTTAATATTTCCAATAATAATAAAAGCAAACAAAGACAAAATTAAACCAAATATATTATTAACAAAAATAGGTCTTTATTTATTCTATTAAATAATAATTATAAATAGTAACAATACTTTTCATATTATGAACATATACGTAAACAGCCGTGTTTATATTATTATATTATTTTGTAATTTCTAAAATGTATATTCATGTCAAAATGCATTTATGAAAATATCGTTTTTATGAGTAGAGTTTCTATCGCAAAGCATTTACTAAACTCTAGATTATAAACACAATAATTCGCATAAAAAACAGAAAAATATTACAGAATAACTTATACGTTTATCAATAAATTGTATTTAAATTACGGTTACCAGAGATACATGTACACATAAAATAATAGCCTGTTATTACCAATTCTTCAAAAAGAAGACTGGGTAGGTGTCATTTATCTGTGAACTTGACTAGAATTTTGAGGTGTATTTTGTCATTTATAGAAAAATGCGACATATTCGTTCTTCTTAAAAACAAATACATTTAATAGATCTTTAAAATAATTTACTTTTTGTTTGGGAAATAATATCTCTTCCATGTATAAAAAATAATTTGAAATTATATTACATTTCCATAACAACAACATGTAAACAATGTTGGATATTTATAACACATATATCGAAAATAGGAAAATCATTCGTCATTCAGGGAAAACTCGGTGAGAAATGAAAGTCACTTTGATCTTCGTCTTACTTTTTGGGATTTTCAAATATATTCATTTGAATAAAGGTAAAGATTAGAAATTCCGATTTATGTAATGAAAATTACTTTCTTTTAAACATTATTGTATTTAAAATGAAACCGATACGTTTTACGTGTTTCTCTTTCACTTTGTAACTTAGAATATGCAATTGAAGATTAACAAATATTTTAATTTATTTACTAATTATTAAAGTGATTAAGTATTAAGGAAACTTTTAACCGTAGCATGAGGATATCTATCGTTTACATTATTATCGTTAAATCTTTTATTAATATATTAAATTTATACGTTGTCTTGACTTTTCTCGAAAACTTCATTATATTCACATTCATTATAATTTAATCTACGATATCACAGTTGAGTCTTTATTTTACTGTTTTCGAAAAAAGACATGGCTTTTCAATCAGACTATAGAAAATTTAGTAAAGCTGTGAGATACTGTACTTATTAAGGATAATATATATATAGTTTTTTAAATACAATTTTATGTTTTTCAATGTATATTATATCCACAGATAATCTAAATGATTCCTATGAATGGAAATTAGCTGCGATAAAGGTAAAATATACTAAGATATTATTTATAATTTTCTTCTATATATATATCAACAATTATTTTGTTATTTTAAGAATCCCCATTTTGTGACTATGGATAAATCTCAGAATAAAATGACAGGAGGACTTCGTTTTCGAGCCTTTAAAGCTCTTCAAGACAAACTAAAATTTAGGTATTTTTAGAATTATCTCGTAATTTGTTTTTAATATTTATTTCTATAAAATGTTTAATAACCACATAAATTACAAAATATATTTCCGAATAGATAAATAGTTAGACTTGTTCATTAACACGTAAGAGCACTATTAGTTTCTGTAATATATTGCAAAAATCATAATAAATTTACATCATTGAACTTTTAAGCTTAATTACAATACTTTAAATATTTCTTTCTTATATTTACACTTATTTATAAAAATATTTATTCGTGAAAATCATTCTTCTTGTTAATTTTAGCTGTAAAATATAACACATGATATTAATATTAGGCTGATAAAGCAGTAATAAGAAAGTAATAAAGTAGTAATAAAGTAAACTAAAAAAAGAGTAAAACCTGTATATATCAGAAAATGTAGTCGACAACAATCTGTTTACCTGCACGAATTAAACAAGAAACGAAACTATAATATTATTAAATTACTATCAGAAGCAACGTTAATAATAAAGGCGTTTTAAGTATCATTTGCATATCATTGATTGAGAATAAAAATGGAACTTTCTATATTTTAAATAACTATTAATATAGAACTGAAAATTTCCTATATTCGTACTAATGATAAGTACCTTTGTATACTATACTAACCCGGAGATTCTGCTTTTCTTTTTAAAACATATTTTAAAATTGTATTGTTCCACTACAAACTTTTAACTCCAGTCACTAATTTTTTTTAACTGGATATTTTTTACAACTACTATATTTTAATCTAGATGCGAAAGTTTTCTAACAATGTATTCTATCAATGCCATGGTTTCTTTAATCCTTCAAGATATATAAAAACCTGTTTTTCATAATTTGGTTTATTAAGAACAAAAAAAAGAGTATTTAGAAAATAACTATCAAAAATATCATTTTGAAAAACAGTGTAAGATGTGTATTCTAATTGTTAAATGTACGAATTTAGCTGAAAAAATAAATGAACTGTAAAAAAACCATAGAAACCATACATAATGTTGACCTTTCTTCGCAGTGTTTCAAGGTGCTATTCCCCGAAAGTCGATTTTTCCTGAATTTTTAAAAAATATCCGGATGTGGTCACATTTTTCGGATTTTTAAAAAAATCCACAAAGTATGACACACACATATTTAATTGCGCACGATTGTTTTAATTTAAATTTTTTTCTAAAGTTGACAACAATACCTTTGAAGAAATTTCATTCAAATACGAATGTGTTTCAAATACAAATACAAATACAAATACAGTAGTCTTCACATAGTATTATCAAATATTTTCAAATATAAATGTTTTGAAACTTATGACTTATTTGAAAGTGTATTTGATTGGCTTCCATTGAACAATTTCAAAAGTTTATAACAAATTGATTTAATGAAATCAATTTCTAGTTTTAAATATTAAAAAGTACTAAATACTATATTTCAATTGAGATATTTTTTAAAACATTTATGTTAGTACAATATCTCTAATTACGATAAATTTAGTTGTAACTTTTCAACTCATCTTTAACGAAAATATAATTATTTGCATCCAATTAGTTATTCCATAGCTAAGCCAGTAGATGATTACTTTGGAAGATTAAGCAAAAATGGAACATGGACAGAAATGATTGGGAAAATTACAAGAGACGTAAGTGATTTAATTATTTAACAGATGCATGTATATATTATATCATAGTTTCCTTTTTTATCTGAACTTTCTTCTTATTCTATAAAACTTGTATATTGGTTCTTACATTCTGAGATCTGGTGCGAAAATGATTTTTCTATAGTTATATTTTGTACGAAATCTGTATTTAACATCATATCATATATATGGCTGCGTTAAAGCAGTCGCAAAAAAAAAAGAAAACTCAAGCAGAAGAGACCTTTGAAAATTTACAATACAGTTTAAGCAACAGAAAATATTTAGTTTTTGCACAAGCTAATAACCTAATGGTAAACACCGCCTAATAATTAACAGCATTCAATACTTTACGTTACTCCCTTAAGAATATTTCTATGTTCCTTTTCTATTAAACAATGATTCACCTCAAGTATGATTATATAAAGTACAAAATGTATTTTCTTAATGCTGGTTCCTTTGAAAACAGTCCATATAGTTAGCAAATTTATCAAAAGTAACATAAAAGGGTTTATGTAATTTTTTAGTACCTGATGTAAATTTTCGAAAATTCTCTTATACTTATGGCATTACACGAATGACACTGTAATAACACTATAAAAATCTAGCAACGAATTGCAAAATTTTCTCTGCAACATTTAACTTCAAAATTCAATAACAAAAATCTATTTAATGTGCAAACCTTCCTCATTTAAATTTCTTTATATACAAGGCAAAATTTTGGTTTTACCACCTGTTTTTACTTAATCTAAATACTCAGTATTATGTTATTACTTTATTATGTAATTACTTAAGGCCATTTGAAAATATGCTGTGTCATCGAAACATTAATTAACTGCGTTAATAAAGAAGTGTCAGAAATTTTCACTAAAAACAACTTATATTTAATGTATAATATATTTCTACACAATAGTACACAACTTATACCTAATATGTTTAGTTTTAAATTTATAAATTACTACCATTCAAAATGTTATTTTTAATAGTACTGTGCATACAAAAATTTGTGGATGCCTGTAAACTTCTTTATGTAAACGATTAGAAAGGCTTTAAAACTCATTAAGAAACTTAAGTTAAAGAATTATGTTTTCCTTATTAGTTGTTGTATAAAACAGAAGACAAGTATTGCGATCGGTCAAATGTGTTCTTTTGAAACATTTTCATGATTGGACTTACAACGTTTTGAAACGTTGAGAAATGCCAAAAAATTCGAATGCTTTTATCACCTTTATATATGGATGTTAATTCGAGTATGTGTGTAAGATAGGTTTAATTTAAAAAAAAATTAATTTTTCTAACAATATTTATATCTATTTCTTTGTAAAAATTACTATATACTTATTAATAATATATAATATTATTTAATTTCTCAATTATCAGGAAGTGGACATGGGAGTCGTTCCAATCTTTCTTAGGTCCGATTTGTTTTCAATCACGGAGTTTTCTGCATGGGTAGGATATCAATCTATTGTGTTCATCGCGAAGAAACCTGAGAAGTTCCCTAATTGGAGTTCCATTGTCGCTCCATTTTCATATATGGCAAGTAATCGTTATTTAAGTTATAAACATTTGATAATAATAGCAGTATTTCATTTTTTTAGATTTGGATCGCTATTTTCATAACCTTCATTGTGTTTGGACTAGCGTTACACAAAGTGTTAGAACGAGACTTTTCATTACAAGATATAGAAGTATTTTGGCCAAGAAGTAAAATTTTCTGGAATTTGTTTCGAACTTTCGTATATCAAGGTATTGTCATATATTTTTGTATAATTCGTAATTACCTAATTTTTTTACCAAGAAATTTTGTATACGCAGGAATAAATTTGGATTGCATTAAGAGGTTTCCATCCAGATTTATGATTGGAATATGGTGGCTATCTATCGTTATTCTAGGGTCTAGTTATAGCGGCACTTTAATGTCGTTCATGACGTATCCTGTTACTGAAAAAATTCCAAACACTTTCGAACAGTTAGCAAATTCTCTACTAAGAGGGGAATATTCTTGTGGAGTAGCCAGTAGGTCTACTTTATGGCAAACTATTCAAGTAAGTGAAGATATGATACAAAATTAATATATATTTTATTATTAGTAGTTGTATATTATATACTATATGACGTCATATAAAATTTTCTAGAATTCCAAGTTAAAATCTGCGAAGATCATATCAGACTATATAATACAAAACAACAACTTTATTGAATTAAGCAAAGGAATTGAAAGAGTACAGAAAGAACGATTCGCTTTAATATATGCTGATTATGTATTAAAAAAGAAACTTCGAAATAATTTAGACAACTTTGTTTTCTCGAATGACAACCTTTTTACTTTCATGGAAGCATATGTAATGAGAAAGAGTTTTCCATTCAGACATCAAATTTACGAAATGTGAGTAAATAGAAACTTATGAATTATTTGTTGGACTACAATTTGAGGAAAATTGTATACTTGTGAATTTTCACTATGATCCCTGAATCTATCTCACTCTCCTTTTTTAATCTCAAGAACGGAGTTTGTAAGATAAATGGCGATACCAGATTCGTATTGAGTAGTGAATTGGGACCAGATTAACTGGATAAAAGCATCTTGTTTTAAACTTAAAGCACGTTAGATGACATGAAAAGAGTTAGAAGAATGACTGTCACTTCTTATTTCTGACAGAAAAAGTATGAAATACAGGAATAAGACATTACTAATCTGTAACGGAGATCATAGATTTTAAATTAAATTATTTTAAAAATATGATTAAAAGTTTCAGCGCAATATTATTATCATCATAATACAGTTTTGTACTATATACTATTATTATATATTACAAAAATTTTTCGTCACATAGTAACTAAGCTATTCTTTAATATTCATTCATATCTTTAATTTACGTAATATAGAATACATGTTCTTTATCTGAAAGTAGTGGCTTTCTCCTGTACAGTACATCATACTATTTCTTGAACAGAGTCATGCCTGTTGACTATCTAACAATTTTTAGAGGTAAAGGTTTAAATTGAAATAAAATGACGTCTGTTATGTATTGGTAGATTTTGAACAGTTGATCAAAGCATCCTGCATATTTTGTTTTCATATCTGGTCCCTTTTTTCAAGTATGGAAGTGCGTTCTCGAGATTCAGGAAAGACAGACAGACGGACAGACACCTTGACAGGAAACCTACAGTTGAATAATTATTCCACAATTTATTCCACAATAAGTCCACAATTTTTCAAAATTGTAGTCTAATAATTGCTCGTTTAATTATAAGAGTTAAATTATTATTTTTCAGAACTAGTCGAATATTCGAATCTGGAATCATCGAGAAAATCGATCATGCTGAACATTCTAGAACAAACAGAGATTCAGAATTTCGCGAATTATCCATCCAAGATATCATCAGCCCCTCTCTGTTACTTATATTAGGCTACCTTCTGTCTCTTCTCTGCATAATTATTGAGAGAATATATATAAAATTATTCTGTATTTTAAGGATTCTGCCAAATTGAATATTTACATTCTATCTGGAAATAGAGAGTTAAAGCGCTTCACGTTTTATTTTCCAATAATACACACGAAATCATAGAAAAAACAGTAATTAGATTTCACCTAATATATGCTGTATTGTCGATAAGCCAAGTTAGTTTAAAAATTAATGATACAAATTTTGTAAAAATTTTATTGTAATTAAAAAGCGTTTAAATCATTATCAAAATGTACGTCATGTAAATTACTGAATCATATTCGTGATATTATTTTTACTGGTTTAGTAACATGCTGTGCATTTTCTGTGGAAGAAGACAAAGATGACTATAAAGTGTTACATGAAGATCATTTAATAAACAAAGTGGAGAGCGTAGGAGTAAGAGGCACCGAGTAAACGGATCAGAACTTCAGGTACAAATCAAAAGCCTCGTTATTTCAATTTAAAACTTTTTCCTAAAAAGAATTAGATAAATGACCATCACGATTGTATTGCTAACAAGTATTGTATGTTGTACTAGGGCAAGTCGTTACTAGTTTGAAAGGAGAAGCGTTATTATATTTTAAATTAAACAAATTAACTGCAGCTCGACATTGTAATAATGTCACAATAAATAATTGTCTGTTTTTCATATACTATCTGCACCATATATACGATTTGGAGTACCACAGAATCATTGGCATATTATGAATAATAACATTACAATCTATTAAATATTACTTTTTGTTTAATACTTTTAAAAAGAATTTTTAAGTGTAAAAATTATAATTTCATATTTCATTGTTTTGCAGTATCCTAGTGTTAACTTTAATAAAACGTGTGTCAGACGGAACTGGCGATTTTTTTCGAAAAAGTATGATATTTCAGTTTTCAAATTTTTTTTTAATGTTATCGAACAACAAAGTTCACTGAAAAATTCGACACTTGTATTATGATATCTGGTTTATTGCCCCTTTTGCACTCGGTATGGAATGAACTCGAGGAAAATTGTACTAAAAACGTTATTTTATAGTTTAATTGTGTAGAATTTCGATCTGTACTGTATACCGAATATTAAAAACATTTAATTACATTATTATATTTTTGTACATAGTAAGTTTAATGATCAGTATTCCAAAAACAAATAAACATATATATTGCTCAACTGAAAAGTTTAATGTTTCAACGTTACTATACACTTGATACAGTGTGCCTAATTTTGTTGCGTACATAAATTTAATTGGAAGAAAAATTGATAATTTATATTATACAAATAATGCATTAAAAACTTTCCACAAGTGCTGTTTGTCTTCACACTTCAATTTTGAAAACATTTTGCTTTTTATGTTTTTTATAACCTCAGAATTAGAAATACATCTTAATAAGTATTTTATCTTGCAGCTGTATTAAATTCTTCATATTTGTTTAAGAAACATGTTTTGTTTTGAAAACAATCGACTAACAATGTTACTTTGTTTAGTCGACTGAAAAAAGCTAGAACTTGAAAACAATCAAGATACAAACTATAAATTTACTATATTAATAAAAAAATTTACTTTAACACGGAACAATAATTCTCATCAGCCTAACATTAAAATTTTAATTATTTCTTTATAGTAGAATTTTAATTAATTTTTTACGGTGGTCAGTAAATAAACTAAAATTACTGTATACACAAGTCTACACAGTTAATCTTTACTTAAAAATTCAATTACCACCTAGCGACAATAGAGATATCAATTGGGAAGAGAGGAAACGAAAACCCTAGCCGATTAAAAGAAGAATTGAAAATGAAAATTTTATAAAACCCTATGTTCAAAAACATAGTGTTAGTCATCGCCATCGTGATTGTCAACTTAAACGTTTTTCTCTAAGTCTGTCATCCTTGTCTCTCGCAAATACATTAACCTTTTTGAAACGTACCTGCAACAGATGCTGCTGTTAAATAAAAGTTTATTAGAAACATTCAGTTTTACACATCTACCCTTTAGTAGTCATATCAACTGTACACTACATACCATACATTTCTATTGTATCAAAATTTTTTTCTCTGACAATTTAAATGATAATATATATTCATTCTTGGATTCCCACAGCATCCTTAGGTAGACAAATATATACACTATTTACATGGTTTATATGTGCTATTTTATTGCCGAATAACAATTTAAATCTCTTTTATCAATAATATCTACTGTGTACATTAAATTCATTTACTTTGAAACAAACGAAAATCTGACAAAATAAATATTCTATAGTATTCATATGATTATTATTATATTTACAGCACGGGTATTGTAATAATCATTATTCAAAACTTCTGGAATATTAACCGTTTACTTTACAAAATAATCGTTCCATAGTGTTGATATAAACAATATTTTGTTCATAGCATGGGTAGTGTGATGATAATAAATTTACATGCTGAGGTAATTTGAACTTTCAACTTGACATTTTACATATATTTTTTGAATGTTACATATATAGCTGAAATATAGGTTGTAACTATGTTTCCATTATATAGTTAGATAATGTATTGTATTTAAAGTACTTGTCTTAGTATTTCATCACTATTTAACCTAACTGTTTACATTCCTACTTATCGTCCATTAATCATTAAACTCTATATTATTATTTATTGCTTTATATATTACATTTTCAGTCCCGAAATATAATTTATTAAAATTTATTTTCACTTTTTTCACTTAGAGATTTTTATCCATTTTTATTTTACGACTTGCTTCTTCTCTAATTTTTTTTTTTGCTATGAAACGAAAAAGCACAACTAGTTTCCATAGAATTTCCTTTTTGTAAGGGCTATCATCCAATTTATTAAGTACTTATTTTGGTTTCTTACTGGAAAGTTATTATGGTACTTTATATTTTGCCAAGAGATCGAAGTTTTAAATAATTTGTTCATCCAAAACCATGTATGTTTTGCTATCTTACAATCATAAAAGATATGAAAGGTGTCTTCGTCTCTACCATATCTAACGCAGCCTTTATCTCTTTGTTTTTGACAGTTATAAAGGAACAACCTTGATTTGATAATTTCGTTAAGAATTCCTCATGCTATTTCTTTCCATTCCGCCGCTAACATGTCCACATTGGACCATTCTTCTATCAAGTTTACAGTAAACTTATTATCTAGCATGTTAATATTCGTAGCTTGTTTGTGAATGTTTTTATATATAAAAGAGAGTCTTATTTCATTAGTGAGCTGATCTTTATTCAGGAGAATTGTCACTATTTCTCTCCATTTTTTAAAACACTTGTTATTGTCTATAAGGAATGGAAANGTAGTTTGTTTGTGAATGTTTTTATATATAAAAGAGTGTCTTATTTCATTAGTGAGCTGATCTTTATTCAGGAGAATTGTCACTATTTCTCTCCATTTTTTAAAACACTTGTTATTGTCTATAAGGAATGGTAAGTTTCCTTTAATCATTGTGATTCTTTTAGTTAATTAACCCAAGACATATTGTCTTATGTCTGTGAGCGGATGATTATTTTTCTTCATAGAATTAAATAAATTTGCTATCTGTAAGGAACATTCTAAATCATTAATTTCCTATATATTTCATCCTCCTTGCATAGTATTGAAATTTCTATTTAATGATTCGTACTTTTTATACCAGATATAGTTAAAAATCAATCTATTAATAATTTTATTGTCATTTTTAGTCAGATTGGTAACATAAAGATTATACATTATTCTTGCAATCAGTACTTTATTAGCTATGATTACACGTTCTGGAAGATATAACCATGTGTTTTTCCAATTTTAATATTTGCATTATTAATTTTTTGATTCATTTCCTTTACATCATATTCTTTATTATTCTTTCCAAACTATACACGTAATATTTTTATGTTGTCTACAATCTGTATGTTCATACAGTAGAGCGTCTTTTATCCGAAGATCGGTTATCCGAAGGAATTCCAGTGGACAAATTTAAATTTTCGCCAGTGCTGTGGCGCTGTATCTTTGGCTATGTATTCGGCTGCTCAAATATTTTACGTTTTTGATACTAAATTAACTTCTGAAATATATTTTTTTATTGTATTTATATTTTTCAATATATTTATTTTGTTTGTACAAAATAAAAAAATAATTTTTAACAATACAATAGTCTTCGTTAGGCTTAACATCGACGAAAATTCAACGCGAAAAGACACGCAACGGAAAAAAATTTTAACATGCGATAAATTAATATATTTTTCCGTACATAATTAGTTATCCGAAAAATAAGTTATCCGAACAACCTCAGTCTTCAATTAATTCGGATAAACGACTCTCTACTGTATTTTCATTGATGAGGTTTCCACAGATGTTAATAAGTTTACTTTTGGATTCGTTTATTTTCATGTTGGTTAGACCACTGAATATTTTAATTTTTTGATTAATTCTGTTTAAAGCTTCTTTATCCGTTAAAAAGAAATTAATGTCATCAACGTGTGCTATATATTGACTTGTTTCATCATACTTGGTATGCAAATTGGTGTTATTAATTTGTCGTTTATGATCATTTTAAGCTGGGCTTCTATATAAATTGTGAAGAGAACCATTAAACAGGGACAATCCTGTCTAACACCTGCATGGCATTCAATATAATTAGATTCGTTATTGTCAATGAATATGTTTGTTCTGTTTCTTTGGTATAAACATTTAATTGTTATTATTTTTCACTATGCAGCTACCAAAGCTGCGCCAGGGTTGCAGCGTAGTGAAACATGCCATGAACAAGGTATGCTGATCCAACACGACCAGGAATGAATAAGCCCATGCCTTTATCTCGAAAGACTTATTTTTATATGAAAGCGCAATCTTTGTTACAATAAACAGTTTTGTAAAGTCACTTGTATTTTCTGTCTCCTACGCCACCACTGACATACGAGAGTGCCCTTTGGTTAGACTGATGAGTGATTAATCATCTTCCTGAAAGTTGCTTTTTTATGAATATCTAAATTTTTGACAAAATTTATTGAAGTTATGAAGCTTCAAAGAATAAAAAAAATCGTGTTCACTCCGCACACACAAACATCCATACACACAAAAGAACCCATGTTTTTTTTTTCGTTTTTCAACATTTCAAAGTTCAAAACTGTAAAATCTGGGAGGGAGTCATGTTTAGACTGATCGCATACACTTCCTCTGTTATATATAACATAACCGAAAAAGTAAAAAGGACTGTATAACTTTTTTATATCTTCTAGTCATAACTATACTGGCAAAACCTTAAAAACGAGCAGAAATTTTAAACAATTAACTTTACTAAAATTATTTGTTCATGCATGTTCGTATGGGTTAATGTTACCTTAGGTTCCAAGATGGCGACAGTCGCCAGTTCGGTCGCTGCCGCCGCGAAAAAGAAAAAATAAAAAATAAATAAATAAAATTTACTCACGTCAATGGT